CAGGACAGCAAGGCCCCGCTCCCCGCCAATATGTCATTAAATATGCTGCATAGTGGGAAGTGGGGGTGGAGGGGGTGGTGCAGGGCAGCCCGAGGGGCAGGTCAGGGCTGCCCCAGCTAGACATCGGCACAGGCATGGGGCACCTGCCACCAACAGTACGGAGCCCCAGACTTTGTTCTCATTGGTGGCAGTTTACCCAGGGTGCATAGGGGGGCGGGGGCTGACTTCCTGGAATGGTCACAGGCCAGTTGGCAAGTCTTTGAACTTCCCACCCTACCCACTGCCCATGGGTAAAGACTGGAAGAGCAAGGTGGAAAGGACAGGGTGGCTACAAGGGGTGGAACCTTGGCCGCCTGTGGCTGGTCATGTTCCAGCTCTAGAGAGTGTCTTGGGTCAAGGGGAGGCCAGAGGGAGGAGGGTCATGGTTTGGAGAAGAGAAAGGAGGGCTAGTGTCACCCCAGGGAGGTACCTGTCCGGGAGGGCAGGGGTAGGGGTTTGGGTGAAGCAAGAGATGGGATGGACACAGGGCCCAAAATTTGGCACAGGAGTGTCACTTATGTCCCAGTGGGTGGTTGTGGGTGAGGCCTGGTGCAGGGGTGAGAGGCGGGAGACACACACACAAGGCAGGGAGGAGGCAGAGCTGCAGTGGAGAAAGGCTTCAAAACCCACTTCCCCTGCCCCGCCCTTCTGCTGGCTGTTTAACAAACAGGATATCCCGCAAACGCAGACAGAAGGTGGCCTGTGAACCCTGGGGGGGTGGCCGTCCATCCCCACTTCTTCCTGGAGGTCATTATCAGCCACCCCAGCCAACACAACTGCCCTTCAGAAGGACTATGGAGGGCAAATAGCATCGCTGCCACAATATGGAGAGAGGCCTGTGGCCAGAATCTCGGCAGTCCCCTAGGCTCCTCTCAGTTCTAGAGAAATGAAAGCCACCAGCAGGACCAGCAAATGGCTCAGGCCCTGCAGGGGCAAATGTGAGTTACCCCACTGGGCTACATAACCCAACTAAACCAGGGGCCTGCCGAGGACAAAGCGAGTATGGAGAATCACAGAAGGAAGAAGCCATCCTGTGATCCGCTGCAGAAAGGACATCTAGGGGCACCTGGGTGGTGGCTCAGTCAGTTGTCTGACTCAAGTTTTGGCTCAGGTCCTGATGGCAGGGTTGTGAGATCGAGCCCTGGGCTGGGCTCTTGGTTCAGGAGTTCAGGACAGTCAGCTTGAGATGCTCTTTCCCTCTGCACCTTCCCCTGCTCTCTCTAAAATTAAAATATGTATGTGTATATATATACATATATACATATGTATATATATTTTTTAAAGAACAGTGTCTTTTATTTTGCAACCCTGCTATGTTGTGCTGATTTTAATATATTTCATCCAGTTTTAATTTTCTTTCCTCCTTTCCCCACTGTAACATACAAAGTTTGTGCTCACAGAATCCCTTTCACACTCTTAAAAATGGTTGAGGACCCCAAGAAGCTTTGGTTTAAGTGAGTTATATCAATATTTAGCATGAAAGAAATCAAAGCCAATAGGTTTGAAAATATTAATTCCTGTGAAAACAACGACGTCCATTATATTAACTTCTTTTAATGAAAAATAACCGTATTTTCCAGGACAAAAAAAAATGTACATGAGCAGGGGAGTGATATTGATTTTGCTTTTTGCAAACCTTTCCTGTCTGGTTGTGCGGAAAGAAGGCAGCTGCTCTCCCACATCTGCTCCTGTGCTCCGTCTGTGGCACCATGATGGCTGGGTGGGAGAGAGGAGATGGGCTTCTTCCAGAGGTACGGTTGGGAAAGGGGGGCCCCTGTCGTGGTCATTAACTTCAATCCACACCTTCTAGAACAGATGGAATCATGGCAAACTAGAGGAGGGCGAGACGGCTCCCTGTATCCTAGATGGGAGGGTTGGAAGAAGAGATGGGTGAAGCAGCTGGGGATCGGGGATTGGGATCGGGAACCGCCTCTCATCTCTCAGGGAAGGGGGAACCACTGCTTTGCTGAGGGACACAGGCAGAGCAGGCTAGGTGGAGGCTGGGTGGGGTTGGGAGTCCTGCAGTGTAAGCATGGGGGAGGGTGTATGTCACCCCCTCCTCCCGAGGGATTGGTGGATCTTGGTCCTCATCTTTGGTGACCCAGAATCTGAGCCCCCTCCCTTCTTGGGCAAACCCTCTACTACATGAGTTCTGGCAGAGGCCTCCTTCCTACTAAAGCTAAATGGGCCAGAGAGTTGCTGAAGGAGAGGAAAGCGATCACCTCCCTCCTGGCATTTTCATCTTGAGATCCTGGCAGACAGCTGAGGATTACTTGTGGCAGTGAGGGGTGGCGGGGGGAGGCTGGTGACATGTACTGTGTTGGTGGCCGTGTCAGGTGGCCCACACTGGGGCATCCCCACCAAATAAGCCTCATGTGCACCCTGGCCTGGGTGCAGCTTCTCTTGACCCCCATGCACTGGCTGACTGGATCCCAGGCCTCCGGGCGGCGTGGAACTACTGTATGCTCCTGAGAGTACCCTTCCAGAGTCTGTCCTGTCGGTGTTTGCCACGCAGAACCCAGGAGTGGGCCGATGGGGAGGCCCGTCTAGACTCTGCTTCATCCTCGTTTCCCAGCACCTCCCGCCTGGCCCCTTCCAAATCACCTTCCAGGAGCCCCAGGGCTGCCCTCTGAGGACAGCGAGGTCACCAACCCGTCCTGGAGGGAGCTTCAAGGACCTCGCCCCAGTTTCCGGACAGGTCTGCACAGGGTCTTCCTCGTGGCCCCTTGAATCCCTTGTCACCCCTCTCTCCGAACAGATTCCCTCATTCTTATTAGAAACCACGAACTTTTGAATATTATGTTTGTGAAACAGCAGAGGAAAATCATTCACAATCAACTACAAATGTTGATTCCTTTCCAGTCTTGAAAATCGATCTTTTGACAGCAGGGCAGCCTGTCCTGCTTCCGCTGGCATGTGCTGGCCCACCCCGCTGAGGGTCGGGCTTGGCTTTGTGCTTCGGCTGCGGAATGAGTATCCCCGACAGACACCAGGGGTGGGCAGGGGCCATGCGGTGCTGGCAGGGGTTGACCTGGCCTCTTGTACTTCTGCCAGGAGAAAGAATGGGCCGCAGGGTACACTCAACGACCACCCATGACGCAGCATGGAATCCCGGACGCGCTGTGGAGCTGACACCTGCCATCAGACCCACACCCCGCACTGTCACCACCGCAGCGGACTTGTAGGCTGGTGAGCAGGAGTCTGTACTAGGAAGCCACCGAGATTTCCGAGCAAGAGCGAATCCATCATCCTGTAGAAGAAACTGCCCTTACAGTACTGAATACATGCGGTGTTATTGTGGCTAGTCTGCATTACAAGGCAATTAGCAAGTCCGCAAGCACAGCTGAGAAATTTTTTTTTCCAAACTTTCCACGACCTGTCATTCCCACTGGTTTTAGCTAATGCTTTTGAGGCCAGCATGACAGGGGATGGCCCACCTTGGGGTGAGGGGGTGCTGATCACTTTCAGACCCTGGCTCTCTAACGCTGGTGGGGCAGGGCTGTGGGAGTGTGGGGAGGACCCATCACAGTCTGGAGGGACAAGCCTCTAGCCTGAATCCGTAGCCAGGAGGGGCTGGGATCCCCCAAGCCCTAACCTGGATTCCTCCAGCATCCTGCTCCTCCACTCCCAACCTTACTCGGGTCTTCTAGCTAGTGTCTGGCAGTGGAGGGGTGATCAGTGTCTCTAGGCTCCTGGAAAACAAGAGGGGCCTGAAGCTCCCAGGGGCATTTTGCATATCCTGTTCTTGGCTTGTTCCCTCCCACAGGTAGGGTGCTGCGATGACCCTGTTTTCTCATGGTCCCTTTAGACTGTACTTTGTGGGTGTGGAGAGGGCCTGCATTTGGATCATGGCTGGCTCAGTTAGGTCCTCAATAAATATTTGAGAAATGAATGAATCCTTGTGGATGAAATGTTACTGCTGCTCAGGCTGCTTCCCACATTCTGAGGGCTGGTGTCAACTCAAGAGTGTGTCTGTGCGTGTGTGCGTGAGACACAGCGAGCGAGCCTAAAACAGTCCTAGGTGACTGAACTGAGCTGTGGCGTCCTCAGGATTTCAGGAAGCCAGGCTCTCAGGACGAGCTTTTGGTGCTGGCACGGCCTCTCTCTGGGTAAATCAAGTTACTGACTTGCAGTCCTGGACCAGCAATTCAGATCATTTTTACTAAGTGGCTAATGATAAAAATGGATTCCCTCCTTCCTTTCCTCCCGTAATAGTATCATTACACTTTTCTATTTCAACCTCCTTTTGAAAGTATTTATTTGTTCTCAGAAGAGTATTATTTTCCCAGAATGTGGCTTCTACTTTTCTGATTCCCTGGTGTACCACTAGTACCTAAATAAGGACCCTGCACTTACTTTACAAATAACCTCAACTCTTCTTTCCTTGTGGCTGACAGATCAAAAAGTCTGGACCTTAAAATAATACCTGATCTTGTCGGCCGTGCTTTGTTTAAGGCTACTCCTTCCAGCGTTCTGATGACAAGTAACATTTTTTTTATTATAACCAAGTAATATTCTAAGACTCTTAGCAATGAACAAATCACTTGTTGCTTATTTTGGTTGTTCCTGAAGAGATGTTACTACCTGTGTTGGAAAAGTCTAGGTGCTATGAATAGTATCACTTTATGGCCTGGTTATCACAGTAGAGCATGCCACCTGTTACCAAAGGACCGGTGGCTCCTCCCTCTACTAACAGAGACCTTAAAACTGTGTAGATTGAGTCATTTAAAACCTGAATATTAAGAGCCATGGGATTGTCGATCCCTATTTTTATGCCTGGTACTTTGAGAAGATCCTATACTGCGTACATATTAATGTTTTAAGGACAGTCGCAACAGACACGTATCTTTACGTACAAACTTAAAAAAATACTGTAACGTAATTCATTGTAATGCACAAGACTAGAATCCAACAAAATATGCTGCTAAAATAGTCACATAAATATCATATATGCATGGATTCATTTCATTAGAAAAATTCACTTTTTATGATATTAAAGACAAGTATCAGCAAAGCCCAAAGAAAAACTATTTTAACAGGAGGAACACTAAAAATAACAACTCTAAGGCTTATGAACAAGTGGAGGGAAAGAGAATTCTTTACATTTGCTATTATGTCACAACAAGTACAATCTGAAATACAACTTTACACTAGCAGTGTATAAAAATACTTTTAAACGATACTTTCCATAGGCATAGTACCATTAAAAAAAAAAAACAAAAACAACCCAGCTGTGTATTTATTTCGTTTGAGGACCTACTATTCAACTGACTGCTCCGAAGCTAGCTTTTAATGCACTAGCCTGGACTGCAAGTTCTCTCTCATGTATACACCACACACACACACACACACACACACACCCCACACGCATGCGCACACACACAGAGCCATGTATTAAAATGACCTCCTACATCTACCATGCATACTGATGAATGACTGACGGGCATCAATCTCAAACGGGCATGAGATGATGGCGTTTGGCGCCTATTTTCAGTTCCAAGTTTGGGACAGATGAACAAAGAGGCAAAAGTAAGGTGGATTTTGCGTGTGTATATGGTTCCCGACCCACAGATGGGTGCTCTCCAGAAGAGGAGTTTAATCTGGCATATCGATATTTAATTTGGGAGGCGGGGGAACGTATTTCCCAGGACTCTGGGTTATAACTACCCTGGCCTTCTTTCCAAACATTGGAGCAATTTTAGGAGCATCTGGGACTGATGTTTCTTCAGCATCTTCACTGTCTTCATGATGTAGATCATAGGAAATGTTCCCATATTCTCTTAAAAATGGGAAAATTTCAAGCAGAAACTGACAGAAATCTCTACGAATACCAAACCACCAATGGTTGCCTCCTTTTCGCCTAAATGTCGTGGCCATTAAAGTTATTAGAGAAAGCCAAAGGGGGACAAATATGGAGATGTGAGAGAATGTATTGTGGCCATCTAATCTGTGAACCAGCAGAACCTCAAAAGTGAGCAGGGGCACGACGATCGTTATCCAGCTGATAGCCATGGTCACATGGGTCCTCCGCTGTTCCGCGACCACATCTAAGGAGCGCAGGAACAGGAGGGACCAGACGATGTAATAGAGGACGACTAGGCAGAGGAACGACATGAGAATCCACAGGGGCACGAACACCACCAGCCATGGCCAGTGGATAATCCTGTCCAGCCTCAGGGCGATGAAGATGAACTGCAGGATGTTGACTGAGCACAGGATCTCCAGCTCTAGCGACCTGTCGTGTCGGAAGCCCCAAACGCAGGCGGCCACGGACACTGGGGATACGAAGAACAGTGGCATGAAGACCAGCAGCCAGAAGTGGGTCCCCCTCTCCACCCGGTCGCAGACCAGGACTTCGAACATGAGCAGCAGCAGGTGGATGGCCACGGCGATCAACATGGCTTTGAACTCCACGCAGGCCTCCCCCTCGGTGCGGTAGCGAGGGTTGCGGGCCCAAACGCCCGCGCCCACTGAGGCGCCGGCGATGACCAGCAGCTTCCACAGCCATATGGGGGCGAAGACGGCCCAGTAGCTCCACTGTATGATGCCGTCCAGGCGGAGGGGCAGCAGCACAGAGAAGAGCAGCAGGCAAGCGTAGATGAGGAACTTACTCGGGTTGAAATCCTGGAACAGGCCCCTGGGGTTCATGGCGATGCCGCCGCCAGCGCCTCCGCCAGCACCCCCGGGCCCGCTGCTCCGCCCGACTCGGCGGGCGCCGAGTCTCCGCCGCTTCCAGGGCCCGCCGCTTCCCCGCCCCGCCTGCCACAGGTCTAGCTGGGCAGTGGCCCGGGCTGACCCGGAGGAGGTTCCGACCCGCCGCGCCGAGTGGCCGGAACACGTGCGCGCGCGGTCACGTGGGCCGGCCGGAAGCGCGGCGGGGGAGGGCGTGCGCGTGCGCGCCCGCGCCCAGCCCGCGCGACCCGGGGGTCCCGGACGGTGTGGCGTCTAGGAGTGTGGCCCTGCCTCGGCCCCGCCGCCCGCCTTCATTCCGTACCCATCCGGAAAGCGGCTACTGCGTGCGGCGCCGGGAGCGAAGGGGCCGGGCTCGCCACTGACACCCCAGTCGGCTGGTCGGCTGACTTCGGGCAGACGTTTCCCGGCGGCGCCCGCAGAAGGGAGGCGGGAGTGAGCTCACATCCTCTCGGCCGGCCCAGGGGCCGGGCCAGGCGGGGCGGGGCCTAGGGCGGGTCCGGGGGCGGGGGAGGGGCGGGGCTCTCCGGGGGACCTCCCCTCGCCGGCAACCGACCCCGGGGCTGGGGAGCTGTCAGGTGCCGGGGGCGCCAAGGGGCAACGGCGTGGGCACGAGCGAAGGCGCGTGGCCGACGGGTGTGGGAGTGTGGGAGTTTGGGAGCAGGGGGCGGGTGGGTGCCGGTAAGTATGAATGCACGTAGCGGGGCGTGCCTGTGTGTGTGTGTGTGTGTGTGTGTGTGTGTGTGTGTGTGTGTACAGTGAGGGGGTGGTTTGTTTACCCAGTGCCGACGGAGGGGGGCCCGGGCGGGGTGGGGTGGGGAGCTTTACCTGGACAAGATGACCTCCAGGGCTGGATTCCGCCTGGAAGGGTAATGGCAATTATCGCTGCATGAGGAATGGCTGAGGCACAGTGCCTAGGCCGCGGCGGGGACCTCATATGGCCCCTTTCACCCCAGAGGTGGAGGGCAGGTGCTGGGGGGAGGGTGTTAGAACCCTGTGGGGGCCACCAGGCAAAGTACCCGCGAGCAGGTGCTTCCTGCCCCAGGTCACCCGACGGTTTCAGAACAGAACGAAACTCATATTGAGGGCTCTGGGCTTTTAAGTCCTGAATCCTCAGTTTTACTTTTTGAGCCTGCCTAAATCTGATTCTCACAGAATCAGACTGGGAAAGGGCGCTGGAGCAGAGAGGTCAGGAAATTTGGGTACTAGTCTAGGCCTTGCCACCCAGCAGCTGAGAGACCTCAGCAGATTCACCGTGGTCTATCCTGGCCTCAGTTTCCTGGGCTGTTTCCAAGGTGGTTTCCAGGGCCAGCCCTGTTGCAGCAGGTGTGTGATTTGGAGCCCTCCCCTCTCTCTTGCCCACTGGACAGACCCTGGAGTACTCCTTCCTGTCTTCTCCACTTGTCCCCTGCCCAGCGGAGTCCCGGTTGCTCATCCTGCCTTTCAGATCCCCGTCCGTCCCATGCAGTCCATCTGCAATGGGAATGGAAAGTCGATGCTAAGGTACGGGGCTCCGAGGAACATGCCTAGTGTCAGTCAGGGTCTCTGTGGGGTAACAAGGAAGGGCTTCCCGAGAGAGGTAGAGGCCACGGTCCAGTGCAGGAGCTGGCTTTTCCAGGTCAGCATTAACAGGATGCTCGTGAAGCATGGTGTGATGTGGACAATCCTAGCTCTCAGAGATCTCCCTACAACTTCCCCCACACCTCAGCTAGGAGAAAACGGGTGGTCCTGGGGGAGGGATTTGCAACCAAGTGAGCCCTGCCAGGCCTTCTAGATGTGTCTTCAGGGCCCCTGGTTTCTAAAGAACCCCTTGGGAATCATTGTTTGGCGGGAGGATGTTAGCTAAGTGGGGCTCTAGCCTTTGTCCCATCCAGAGTTGCTCCGCTCTGTTTTTCATGTTGGTTTGTCTTTTACTATTTCCTTCCAAGAAGGGATTTGCTGGTTAAAACAATTTAAAATGCAAAACCTTTGTACTGGTCCCAAATCTGAAATGGGCTAAGAAAAACATGGGTGATTGTTTTGAGGATCGCATGAATCAAACATGGAAAGCACTTTGCATTTAAAGAAATGGGAGCTATTAATATTACCACGCTGGGGAGTGTAAAGCCTGAGGAGGGAAGGGCTTGCCGGCAGCTCGCCAGGAAGTCCTGCTAGAGCCACCACCTCTGGACCCCTTTAGAGCAGTCAGAAATCCTCCCCAGCCCACCCCCTGTAGCTAGATGACCTCAGGGCCTCTGCAGCCAGCTCTGTGGCAGACAGGAGCTGGGAGTGTTTCCCATCTCTAGAGCGCCTCCTTTGGGACAAGCACCTGGTTCTCATCCAGGAAGGGGGTTTGGAGGTGGCCCTGCCACATGTGGCCACTGCCCCTTTCCTGGTGGACGTCAGGGCCTGCTTCCTGCTCTGTGCCAGAGCCGCAGGTGGAGGGCTGCTGCCTGCCGTCCCTTCAGCTGGCTTTCCTGGGCACGCAGGCCCGGACTCCCACTGATGCTGTTTTCCCTGATGTGGTCAGTCTCTCAGGGGCTTTCCCTTGTCTTTATGTTCACCTCGAAAGCTAACATGGATTGTCATGTGCCAGGTACTCATGACATAGCCACCTGGGAGGCCGGTACACAAAGCAAAGTGTACATTCATTCATTTACAGAGGGCACATGGGTGCTTTAGTCCACCTGCTCAGGCCTGCCTATCCCCTGAGTCTGGGTGAGTGAAGTCCTGAGATGTGTGGTCCTCCCCTGCCCCTGCCACAGTCTTCTCCCTGCTTAGCATCCTCAGTCCATCTTCCCTTTTTGACCTCAGGGCCCTCCTGTGCTGCAGCCCACCTGTTGGCCAATTCCTTTTCCCGTGGTCTGCCACATCTCCTGTCCTTCCCGAGTGTGCCAGGCATGACCTCTCCATCCTGTGGCCCTGCTCTTCTTTTCTCAGGGTGGCCCACCCCCACCCAACCTCTTACCCTCCTGACTGCCAAGACCCAAGAGGGCTTCAGGCCTTGGGAAACCTTGTCGGCCCCTGGGGGACTAGTGATTCTTCTCTGATCTCCCACAGCATCAGGAACTTTGTTCCTGCCACAGGACTCATTTCAGTGGCTTGAGTCTGGTGGGCCATCTTTCCCCTCATGAGAGTTCTAGACACCTGGCCAGTGCTTAGGTCATAGCATGGGCTTGAGAAAGGCTAACTGAGTGAATGAGTGAATAATTTGGCCCTACTGGTGACCATGCCTCCCCTGGCCCAGATCCAGTGGTTCCCTTCTTCCCTTTCCTCAGAGTAGTGTGGAGGTGACAGCCCTGTTGCTGCCTGCATGCCGGGCCATGTGCCATACACTCCTGGGCCTGGGCGGTCTGTCCTCAGATAGCTCCTGTATTTATTAGTCCTTGGTTTCCAATGCTGTCGTAAGAAATTGCCACAAATTTAGCAGCTTACAAAGTGCCCATTATCTCACAGTTTCTGTCAGTCAGAAGCTGGGGCATAGGGCGGCCTGGCAGGCTCTTTGCCAGAGTCGCACAAGGCCCAAGGCAGGATGTCGTGGTAAATCGGCTCCCACGTTCATTAGGCTTGTTGGCAGAATTTGTTCCCATGGAGTTGTGGGACTGAGGCTCCCGTGCCCTCGCTAGCTCACGGCAGGGGACATTGTCAGCCACCCGCATTTCCCAGCGTGTGTCCCCCTTCAGAGACACTGACGGTGAATGGAGTTCTCATGCTTTCTGGTCTCTGACTGGACCTTCGGCTCTATCGCTCTTCTGCCGCCTTTTTCTGTTTTTAAGAGCTCATATGATTATGTGGGGCACTGCCAGATACTCCGGGATAATTTCTCTATTTTAAGTTTGCCCTAGTAGTAAACTTGATTCCATTGGCAAAGTCCTCTCACAGCAGCACCCCGGTTAGTGTTTGCATGAGCAGAGAACCCACGGGAATGCTGGGGGGGAGGGGTCTTAATTTTTTTTATTTTTATTTTTTTTCAAGTAGGCTCCACACCCCACAACTGGAACTCACAACTTTGAGATCAAGAGTCGCATGCTCCACTGACAGAGTCAGCCAGGGCCATCTTTGGAATTCCATTCAGGCCAGCGTGGCTCTTCCTCCTCCGAGCTCCAGGAGGGGTCCCTGCTCCGGGAGAGCCCAAGGGCCCCCCACACACAGACCAGGAGACAATGTTGTGCTCCCGGGTTGCCCTTGGTGACACCTGGGTGTGCTCCCTGTCCCACCAGGCCAGTTCCCCCTGAGCATCTGGAACAGGGGTAGGATTCAAGATTTGGCCACTTGCTGAATGTCCTCTGAGTGGGCCGCTTAGGGCAGGGGGATGACCTCTACAGAAAGCCCAGGGGCATTTCACTTTCAGACCCATTTGTGAGTTTGCTCACATCAGCCCTTTCACGAGAAAGCCAAGGCACACCTGACCCTCCGTGTCTGCCTCAGTGCCCGCCATCGCCCCTTGGCCTTTGGTCCCTAAATGTGGCAGGGTCTCCCCTCTGCCTGCAGCAGCCTCCTGCCCCCCTTCTGCCTCCCGCCCCCGCCCTGGCAATACACGTGCACACACACTCGTCAGCATGCTAGTGGGCTAGGGGCCCAGACTCCAGAATCCCTCCGGCCAAGACAGGAGTTCTTGCTGGGCTGGTTCCAAGCTCCATGACCTTGACAACTAACCAGTAGAGCCTCTGGCCCCCATCTGTGAAATGGTGATAACCTCACAGCTTGTTGAAGACAAAATGAAACAATGTACAAAAACCCAGAGTATGCTCAAATCTCCCCCCCTCCCCCAATGGCTGCTATTGTTTCTGCCTGGGGAGCAGGTGCAGTGAGCCTCCTTTGGCTTGTTTTCCCAGCTACACTGTCGGTCACATGCCGGGGGATCATGATCCCCACTCATCTGGTAGCCCCAGGTGCGCTGTGCCTCTCCCAAGGGCAGGGCCCCATCTCTCATCTCTGGATCTGCAGCATCCAGATGGTCTGGCGCAGAGTAAATGCATCCAAGAAAGCACAGGCGGACAGGAAGGCTGGAGCTGATGCTGCATCTTTTACCCCCTGACCATGGAGCAAGGTTAGCGGTGTGCGGCAGAGCAGCTCATCTAATGCCACTGGGTCTTGAGGTTGCAGGGAGGTGTCACTGGGCTCTTGCGAAGACCTAGAACATGGCAGCCCCTCGTGCTTGCACTGGGCTCAATATTTCAAAGCACTGTGTCAGCTGAAGCTGACTTTGAGTCCCCGTGGCAGCAAAGGCACTCACCTCATTTCGTAGGTGGGGAAACAGGCCCAGCGCCATGACTTCAGTTCTCTGCTGAGCTTTGCCCTGGGTCCCGCTGGTATCCTGGCCCTGTTCGTCAGCTCATTCTGGTGAGAATGGCCCCACTGAAGAGACTGCAGACACTGGTGGGGACCTCTTGAGAGTCAGCAACTATTCCTTAATTCCTGTATTCATTTAACAACTATGTTTCAGGCATCTGCCCTGTGATCCAAGCCCCATTCTGATATGGGAGGCAGCGGTGAGCAGTTCCTACAGCTTCTCCCATGCTGCCCCCTTCTCCGTTCAGTGTCACCTCCTCCAAGGTGCCCTCCATGACCACCCCACCTAAAGTCACCCCCTCCCTCCTTCTATCACCCTGATTTATTTCTCTTATGTTTCCTATGTGGTCACTTAAACACATGGTTTCTTCAGGAAAATCGGGAAAATGTCATTTAAAGAAAAAAAGCTCTAGTCTTACAGCTACAGAAAACCACAGTTAACATTTTAGTGTATTTCCTTCTAGTTGGTCACCTCTGCAAAGACATATCATCGCCCACGTGCCATTTTATTCTGCTCTTTAGCTTAACGTTAATTCTAAGACTGGCTGATCTTGCCATTCTACCATCACAGCTGATGGCTTTCCAGCTGCCGTCAGCCTCTCGAAATTCACCTCTTCCAAACTGGGTTCCTACTGCTGCTGGCAGTCACTTGGGGGCACTGCCAACTTGAGAAGACTTTACATTAAATTTAAATTCAGTTTCAGAGTTTGCTGGAGGTGTTTGGAGACCATGTCTGTAGTGCAAATTCAGACTCCGACCTGTGTTTAAGTATGGGTTTCATGTTCTCAAGTGATCATTTTCCCTCCCTGCACCCAGGGCAAGGACATACTTTCTGCCCAAAAGGGCTGTCTTTCATCCGCCTTGCATTTAGGGACTAGCCCTTCGAGGTCCTAGCTACTTAGATGCCTCTTGTTAGATAACCCAGCCTGGATATGTTTTTTTCCTTCCTGATACATGAAACTGTGGTATGTCATATAATCAATGGTGTCTTAAATGTGATGATACACCATCACTAGAAACAATTCTCAGGTTACCATTAATGCATTGTGAGCATCTTTTTTTTTTTTTTTAAGATTTTATTTATTTGGGAGAAAGCACGAGCAGTGGGGAGAAGGGGAAGCAGGCTTCCTGCAGACGTGGAGCTCGATCCTACAACCCTGGGATCACGACCTGAGCTGAAAGCAGAGGCTTAACCGACCGTGCTATCCAGGAGCTTCCTATGAGCCTCTTTTGAATGGCTCTATGATACTACATCACAGCGCTGCCCAGCAGTCCCCTCACCCATTCGTCTGCTGCGTATTGGGGTTATTTCTGTTCTTCTCAGAGATAAGGAGCTCCATGGTCTTTTCCACTACGCACAGCTGCTTTCTCATCCAGAGGATTTGTTTAGGGTAATTCCCAGAAATCAAATTGCTGGGTTGAAAGAATGAATATGCTATACAAAAAGCTTAGTGTTTTTAGATGCAGATTTTTTTTTCTTTTTTCTGTATTCCTTTCGCACACACGGGGTCGGTGCCTTTGCAAGCAGGGGGTATGAGTCCACTTTTGCTGGCAGTGGCTGGTCTAGTGCTTTTGGTCTGGAAAACTCTGTAAGGGTGAAGAATTAACATTAAACGAGGTAAAGAGGCTGAAATTAGAAGCTTACTCAGGTATAAGGTGGCACCAAATTAAAAGCCCAACTAAAAACCAGGACTGGTTTGGATGTGTGAGTGTGCCCGTGTGGGGTCAGGGGTCTCTTTGGGTTGGATCATGGTAACCTCCAAATGTTACCAATTGATAAGCTGAGTGCTGGGATAATTTAATCTGAGACATTCAGATAAAGTTAAGTATCACTAATTCAAACTGATTTTGTGTATGTGTGGGTATGCATGGAAAACTTTGGAATTACAGAATTCTGTTGAACAAATAGGTAGTTCAGTTACCCATTCCTGGCATTTACATCGGTGCCACTTAACTGTTTAAGCAATTTGCCTGTGTGATGTGAGCTTTCTTCTCCAGTGTCGTTTGTGCGATTATTTACTCAGCGAAAGATCTCTTTGTTTTACAACGGTGCTCCTCAGTCCTGCTCTCACCCAGACTTCCTGTAAATTCGTAGGCAATGTGTCTGGATGAGTGATGTGGTTACTGGGGGCAGGAGCGGACCCTTGTAACACTGTAATCCCAATTTCACTGTGGATTGTCTTTTACTCTTTCAGAGACAGGTGCCAAGCAGCCAGTAATCACCCCAAAATACATGCCTGTGGGGATCATTCAGAACCAGGTCCTGGAGTTACCCTGCACAGAGTGTGGGGCTCTCGCTTGGAAGGGGCTGTCAGTTCCGCCCACAGGACACAGCACAACAGTGTGCCCTTCTCCCTGCCCAAAACCTTCAGTGACTTCTCGTTTCCAGGGAAGAATCCACATGCCTCACCATGCTCTTCAAGGCTCTGGTTGACCAGCTTCAGTTTATCTCTCTGATCTCATCTCACCGCTTGCTGGACTCCTGAGGCCACACCAGCATGAGCCAAAGAAGGACCACCTGGATTCAGTCATTTAACCAACTGTGTGTCTTCGACCCAATGACTCAGCCTCTCTGAGCCTAGGTTTTCTCATCTGTAAAGTGGGAATAATAACATCTGCTTCACAGGACAGAGGGAAGATAGTAGAGACTTAGGGCCTGGCACGTTTAGGAAATGATCAACATCTAGGGCGCCTGGGTAGCTCAGCAGGTTAAAGCCTCTGCCTTCAGTTCAGGTCATGATCTCAGGGTCCTGGGACCGAGCCCCACACAGGGCTCTCTGCTCTGCAGGGAGCCTGCTTCCTCCTCTCTCTCTGCCTGCCTCTCTGCCTTCTTGTGATCTCTGTCTGTTAAATAAATAAATAAATAAATAAAAATAAATCTTTAAAAAAAAAAAAAAGGAAATGATCAACATCTGAGCACCGTCCCCTGCCCTCTGCCTTTCCCCCAACCCTCATGCTGCCGCTGGAGAGCAGAATGCCTGGCAGGGTTGGGGCCGCTCTCAGATCCAGGTAGAGTTAGGCAGCTTGTAACTGAAGGTGAACTGGGGTCCTGGCTGGCTCAGTCAGAGGAGCGTATGACTCTTGATCTTGGGGTCATGAGTTCAAGCCCCAAGCTGGGTGTACAGATTACTTAATTTTTTTTAATAAAAAAATTAAAATTTTTTAATAAATAAAAAATAAAAAATTTAAAAAATAAAGGTGAACTTATATAACTAAAATAACACTGGCACCTGATTCTCTTCTCCCTGAGCCCAGTTCTGCTCTATAGATTATGGGGGCCAGTTGGGTCTGGGGTCTCCAAGTGCAGATCCCGGGGGCCTCCAGCCAGACTCACCAAATCAGATGGCTGGAGGGTGGGCCCCAGCATCCAAATTTCTTTAAAGCTCTCCCAAGAGTCCAGTGTGCAGCCAGGTCTCAGAACTATCAGCCAGGTGCTCCCCAAAAAGCCTTTTCCAACCTTCAGAGTCTGTGTTTCTAACCCCATTAAACACCATGTGCCGTCTAGGGGGTCTCATGTCAGTATCTGGGCCAGAGCTCATTTGCTTTCATCAGACATGGGGAGGTTCGCTGGTGTTGCTCAAGCCACAAAACCATAGTTCAGGACCAGTGTAGAAATAAATCTTGAGCCCCATCCGGTACCTTGCTCCGGACATTGTCAGCAAGGGGAGGAGATAAGCTCACCTCGGAGACCTGGGATGCTTCTCACCACCAGTCAGCTGAATACATCGTGGAAATACATCTCTGAGGCTGGAAATACATCACAGGTTAAAACCTAGGCCAAGTGAGTGCCTGGGTGGCTCAGTCGGTTAAGCGACTGCCTTTGGCTCAGGTCATGATCTCAGGGTCCTGGGATCAAATACGCTGCTCAGCGGGGAGACTGCTTCTCCCTCTGCCTGCTGCTCCCCCTGCATGTGCTCTCTCTCAAATAAATAAAATCTTTAAAAAACAAAACAGAAAAACCTAGACTGAACATCCTTTTCTTCTCATAGAGCAACAGCTCCCTCGCCAAGAAAGAAAATGAAATTCTGCGCAGTTCCTGCTGGTCTTCGATTTTCCTCCTGTAAGAACATAAACATTATTTACCATGGCTGAGGATCTTTCCGAATTGCCCAAAGTGGCTGTAAATTTTCCAGCTTTATCCAGGGAGCCTTTGCAGTGGTGAGTTACTGTTCACGTGATGAATTCCTATTGCACATCCAGCCTTACCAGATTTTCCCCCAGGCAGACAGGTGATTCGTTGAACTCGAAGTGCTTTTACGGGGCGGGGGGGGGCTGCGGGGAGTGGCGGGGAGTGGGGGATTTAAAGAAAGAGGTTTTACTTTACAGTTTCTAAGGAAGCGATTAAAAAAACTCAGCAAAAATGGTTAATCACTATTAGTACCATAACGGCAGATGTACCATCAAAAGGGAATGTCATAAATTATATGGGGGGGAGTGGTTTGGGGCGTGTGGGGAGCAGAGAGGTACGAAGAACATCTAGGATTTTTTTTAATTGCCAAAAAGACCAAGAACACATTTTGAAGTAAAGGAAGCGTCCAATTTCCCCTTTCCGGCAAAAAGGGGCTTCGAAAGGAGAAGGCAAGAACTATTTTCACTGTTGCGTAGAATAATGATGACAATGGCTTCTAAGTGTGGCAAGGTGTATGGATGTTGCAGGCTGCCCACATTATAGGAAGGAGGCTCAGGCCAGTGGAGACTCAGCACACAGTCAAGATGTGAACCCAGGCCCCTGCACTCCACCAGCTGGTCTCTACAGCGACGCAAGGAGTGAGTGTTATGACGTCCACACTACAGCTCAGCTTGGCCATTCATCAAGGAAAACCCCTGGAACAAACAGCTAGTTCCAAGTTGTTTTTCAAGATTTATTTCGTAGATAGCCTGTTTCTAACCACAAAGAAATGTGTGTGTTGATATTGGGTGAACAGAGGGGTGAGTGGGTAAGAACCCATTTTCTGAGGTAATAATTTAGTCAGTGCCCAGGATTTCGCAGACGTGCCAGGAAGGGACTTCGTCTCACCCCCAGAGCCTGGGGTCTCGGTGAGGCCCTGCTTGGCCCATCACAGGTCACAGCCACCCAGAGCAGCAAGACGGGTAAGGCCAGTGCCTCACTGGGAGGTGAGGAGGTGAGGAGGTGACAAGGTGAGGAGGTGACACACTCCCGAGCAGTTGGTTTTTCTCCCTTCCTTGCAGCCTTGGTCAGAGCATTGAAATCCCCATTTCCGTTGCAGAGAGCACGAATCTAAGCAGCAAACCCTGTGTACTTCCCAGGAGCAAGGGGCTCTAGTCACCGCTGTCTTGTCCCCATCTGTCAGCGTGGAAATGTGGACATGATCATCAGTTCGTTTCTTTCCTTCATCCCCCCACCTGAACATGGGGGCTGAAAGGGAGAGGACAGGGACGTTGGACCCGGATGGGTCCCCTCAAGTCTGGCTTCTAAGCACACACAGCAAGTGGTGGCCTCTGGCTTCGTTTCCTTCTCCCTAGATGCAAACAGCCCAGCAGAACTGGCAAAAGGGTATACTTTGAGGCCGTTCTTCCGGCGCCTGGGTACAGGGCTGTGTGGCCCCAGTTTTCCTGTCCTGCTTTCTGTCCGCTGGCCTCGAGCCCTTGTGTGTAGATTCCCGCCACTGACTCTGGCATAGAGTTGTGGTTTCTTTCTTTCTTTTTTAAAGATTTTATTTATTTATTTGAGAGACAGAGATAGCAAGAGAGAGCAAGATCAAGGAGGAGAGGGAGAAGCAGGCTCCGCACTGAGCAAGGAGCTCCATGTGGGACTCCATCCCAGGACCCTGGGATTGTGACCTGAGCTGAAGGCAGGTGCTTAACCCCAGAGCCACCCAGGCACCCTACAGTTGTGAGTTAAAGCCTGGGTTTTAGGCAAGGCAGGCCTGGTCTGGATCCCAACTCTGCTTCCCTGCTACAAGATCTTGGGCAAACAGCTTAGTCATGGCACCCATCTTTTCCTTTTCTGCAAAGGGGGCTGTGGATTGAGCCCATCCTGGGGGGCTGCTGCAGGATTGGCCGAGTGCAGGCTCGGCAAGGCCCAGGCCCATGACTGTCAGCCACTCTCCTGTTTAGAAAGGAGGTTATTTTTATAGTAGTTTTGCTGTCTTCAATCTTTATCCACTGATTCCTTTTGATGGATTCTGGGGAATGCTGTCTACCAGCTGCAAGGCTTCCTTACCAACCGGATCCTTCCATCTCTTAGATGAGAAGGAGCTCTTCCAAAAGCTGTCTTCTAACCTCTGTCGAGATCAGCATTCTGTGTATAGCTTTGGAGAAGCGAGTCTGACTGTATTGCCTCTTCGGTGGGAAAAGTTACTTTCTACTTGGTTTATGCTGAAAGGCAGCTCCCAATGTGGGACAGAGGCGTTTCCTGCATGGTCCACAAGCGAGGTGGTGGTAGAGCTAACACACGGATTGTCTAAGACTTCTCAGAGCCTGGAGCCCACCTCTAGATGGGATATGCGAGGAAGAGGCATTGCTCAGGGTAGGGACCCAGCTGTTACCCCGTATGACTGGATTCAAGCTTTTGTTTCATTTCAGGCTCCCGTTTGGACACAGCTGGATTCTTCTTCTAAGATAAATATTATCAGGGGCTCCTGGGTGGCTCAGTCGGTTGAGCATCTGCCTTCAGCTCAGGTCATGATCCCGGGAATCTGGGACGGAGCCCCGCATCGGGCTCCCTGCTCATTGGAGAGTGTGTTTCTTCCTCTGCTCCCCCCTGCCCCTGCTTGTGTGTGTGCGCTCTCTCTCTCAACTACATTAATACAATCTTTAAAAAAAAAGATAAACAATATCAAATATTTATATGGCACACACCCTGGGCTGGGCACCCTTGCAATCCATGCTCACGGTGGGTGGTGACTTGTTTAAGCTCAGCTATCTAGAAAGCGCGGGCTGGAGTGCACCTGCGGTCTGGAGTGCACCCGCGGTCTGACTCCAGAGCCCAGCTCTGAACCATCAGTGTGTGGCCTCTCATCACCCCATGGAGGAGAAAGTAGTATTTATTGAACACCTACTATGTTCCAAGCATGATGTAGGACTAACAAAGATCTCTGGTCACTTCCTTCTTCCCAAGGAACGTTAGAGAGGGAGGGAGGGAGAAGGGGTAGCAGGCGACTTTGCCATCCTTGGCTGGGTTCTGTCAGGCTGGAGCCGAAAAGGACAGGTTGCCCACGAGGCCAGGCTGAGCTGGATCATCCTGGGAGGAGTGCAGAGGCTGAGAGGCAGGCAGCTTCCAGCTCTCCCCACCCAGGTGCAGCTGCCCCCAGGGAGACAACCCAGAACACAGCCATCAGAGTAGCTGGCCTGTGCCAAGGAACTTGGAAGCCCACCAGCCGGGGCACCTCAGAGCCAGCCCCCAAAGCTGCTTTTCCTGGGCTCGCTGTACAGGCAAGCAGAGCCCAGGTGTCCGCCAGTTTTGGCTTCGGGTCATGGCCCCCACCTTGAAGCCCAGGAGCTCCAGCTCAGGAGCGTGGGTTGTAGAATCCAAAACCCAATTAACGTGGGGCTTGGGGGGGAAATCTGTCTGACCAGTGGTTTGGCCAAATCTTCAATCACCGAAGACAGAAGGGCCAGCCAGATTATGTGCCATGACTACCGTTCAGGGCTGGCCACTGCTAAGCAGGACGGGACCCCCTGCGATGCTTCTCGCCCCACTTAACCACATCCTCCCTCCTGAGTGCAGTGAAGGCATCTCCAGGGCTCGGGGCTCCTCAGGCGGCTGTGTCTTCATCACCAGACCCACTTCCCTTGCCCATCAAGCAACAGCGTCCATTGAGCCAACAGGCAGTTCTGAGGATGACTTATCACATTGTCCATTCAAGGGCTGAGGTATTGGTCGGGGTCAGAGCCAAGCACCTGGAAAAGCCTTGAGGGGCAGAGGCAGCACCCCTGGCCTTTCTGCCTGGCCGCCTTACAGACGAAGGGTCTGATGTACACAGGCTCCCTGGGGCTGACTTGGGAGGTTAGAGCACCAACCCTATTGCCACTCTGATCCTTCTGGAACAAGTGCAGGGAGCATGAGCTGGGGGTTCCCCCAGAGTGTAACCATCTGGGACCTTCCTCCTTCTGTTAGGAGTTTTTCCTTTGAGTGGGGTTGGCAGCCTGCCTAAGACAGGGGCCCTCATCCGTCCCTGGGCTCCTGGTCCCGGTTTCCCTGATGACTCCCATGCTGTTCTCCAGATCCAGCAGGCGCGTGCGCTCCCCCATGCCAGCTGCTGGCGTTGCAGGTGCTTTTGCTGCAGCCACTGGGGAAGCCGAGCTGACTGGGAACCCGAACTGTGTGCAGAGGTTGGGTGGGTCTCAGGGAAAGAGGCAGACAGGCCCCACCTTCGGTTTGCTGGGGCAGGAGCGTGTGTTCACAGGTGTACCCACACACGGGTACAACATGCAACTCACTTCCCTAAGGAAGGCTGACCTCAGTCACGCAATAACCTGAGCCAGGGCTTAGGGAAGTGGAGGTAAGGACTGCCCTGCAGGGGAGGGTCCCTGGGAGGAGAGGTGAGGCATGGAAGGTGGGGACTGGGACAGCGGGTTTGCCTCCCAGAGTCATTTCTGCAGGCTGAGATTTGATAGTCTCTGAACCTCTCGGGAAGGGCTTTATACCTGGGGGGAGTCAACCAGGATGCCCTTTCTCGAAAACACTGCCGGCCCTTACTCAGAAGGTCCCCTGTTTCCATGACAAGCGGGTGCTCTTCTGGTCGTTCCAGGCTTCCTGCTCCTGATTTCTCTAACTCTATCCCCGATGTAGTGGAACAGCCCTGTGTTGCCTTGCCAGTCACTTCTCAGGCTTCCCCACCTCAGGGCCTTTGTTTCTTTCATGGCCCCTGCCTTGAAAGCATCCCTTTTCTTTCCCTCCCTCCTTTGGGTTTGCTAGAATCCTCTTCATTTTTTTTTTTGAGCCCAATTCAAGCTCTACCTCCTTCTGGACACAGCCAGTTGCCTGCTTTTCTCTCTACTGTGATGACTCTTTACTCCGAAGCCCTCTCTTCTTCTGAGGTCCCAGTGTCCTTCTCCGTAAACTGGAATGGTACCACGTCATGGATTTGTTGAGAATGTTCTTTGAGATGGCCTTTGTAGACATGGCCTGCATACCGTAGGTACTCAATAAATGCTTCCATCTTTTCCTGCTCTGTGCCAGGCACCAGGACAGACAGAAGACTGTGGTCCGCAGCCTTTCAAGGGTCAGGGCACAGAAGGCCAGCAGAGGGGCACCTTACTTCTCCAGAGAGGGGTGGAGTGGGAGGGGAGTTGAGTTTGGAGGAGGAGCAGAGCTGCTGGAGAGCGGCAGGGAAGAGGGGGTGAGGGAAGGCCCTGGGACAGAAGAGGGAGGGTGTGAATGATTGTGGTTGGGGGTGGGGGTGGGGGGTGGGGGGTGAAGGGGGTAGGGGTGGGAGAAGAGAAGGGAGGAAGGAGGCTTTGTGGCCTTTGTGGCAGAGAGCCTGGACTTCATAGGCAGAGGCCCGGAAGTCTTGGTAAAGGTGCTGAGGAACCACGCCCATCCTGACTGTGCAGGGAGTGAGTCTGGGAGAGGCAGACCAGGAGGGCAAAAGGTGGAGGGAGGCTGCGGACCCGAGGGGAGGCTGCAAGCCAGAAGCCCTGACTCAGGCATCGTCAGAGACCCTGGGCCTGGTCCCGTAGCCTCACGTCCCCATTCTTGGCGTAAAAAGTGGAAAATTTGGATTTGCTTTTTGGAGTTGTTTTGAGCTTGACCTAGGTAAGGAAGATGGATGGGTCCTTCCTTAGGATGGCCAGCTTTCATTTCCCGTGCGTTCCGACTTCCTTGCATTCACGGTTGTAATCGCTTTGTGCACTGAAGGCCTTGTTTGTCTTTGGCTGGGCGGTTTCTCATTCTCGGACTTTGCTCTTTGGTTGGGGTTCCCACTGTCTTCTCTGCTCCCTCAGTGGAGGAGGTTTCCAGTAGGCAGAGTGTGCAGAAGTTTTGAACACCAGTGACATGGGGGCGGGGCGGGGAGGCTCCCATCCTTGGGCCCAGAAGGTCTGTTTGGCTAACTTGTGTGCCCTAATACCCAGGACAGTGCCCGGCACCTGGTTTGTGGTCCCTAAATAATAGCTAAATGGATGCTTATCGAATGCCTGAATCTCTGTCCTTCCAAGTCCCGGGTGTGTTGTGGGGGTCCAGTACACCCCGCACCTCCACCATAGCCTGAATGTCCAGGATTTGGGGACAGGGGCAGGAGCGACAAACCATGGAGGAAATGATCATCTCAGCCCTCCTCAGGGTTGACCTGTCATGTCTTTGGTGCATTCCAGGAGGTCTCGTGCTGTGCCGAGTGTGGCCAGGTGACCTGTGACTGTGTACATGGGGAGTTGGGTGGGATGGGGTGGGGTGGGGGTGCTGGAGAGGCGTTGCCTCCGTTCCACATCTCTGAAATGTGCTGGCCTCTGTCTGGAAATTGCTCACTTTTCTTATCAGTGGGCTTGGCGGCCGTTGGGGAATTTCTGGAGGGAGGGCCTCCTGGAAGGAAACCCCCAGCAGACCTCCGTTTCCCTAGAAGCCCAAACACAAAGGGTGGTGTGGAGCTGGAGCCACAGAGGGGCTGTTTTTTCCCTTAAGAACAAGCCAGATCATGTCAGAAAAAGGAAGGCTGTTGTCCTTGAATTTCATGTGTTGCTCTGACGGATGGTCTCAATGGGTATGGGATCGTAGCAGTTGGGGGTGGACAGAGCAGAGAGTCTGCATTCATTAGTGGCAGTCCGGTGGCTGTGATCCCCCTGGGGGCAGTTAGGAGGACCCAGATTGCTCTGAAAAGCCACAGGGCAACCCTGGGATTCGTGTGTTATGTCCTCATGTGCCTAGCAGTACTCAGAGAGGTTAGGAGCCTGTGTGAGGTCACACAGCATGTGTTGACGGAGCTGTGATTTGAACCCAGCCAGGTCTCTGGCTCCAAAGCCACGTTAAAGCCTCCGCCTCGAAGAGAGGGACAGCAGGCTATCCACAGGTCTGCCATCCTCAGTCTTTTGTTCTAGATCATTCCAGAGATCTGAGCTTACCAGTTCTCATTGGAGTTTACTGTTTTCACATCTCAGCCTCCTCGGGGGGTGCTTTCTCCCACGTGTGCTGCTGAGTCTGTGAGAGGTCGTCTTCCCCCATGGAGATGGGGTCCTCCTGGTGGGGTTTCAGGGTACCACCCATCTTGCCTTTGGGTAGGGCAATGAGAACCGGGGGCTCCAGTGGAGGAGAAAAGGTCTCTCTGCTGGGATCTGGGAAGAGGAGCAAAGTCAGTACCAAAAGCTGGAAAGAAATCAGCAGCCAGAGGACACAGACTGCTTCAGTCATGGGGCTGTGTTTGTCCTTGGCTGTGTTAGAGCTGACCAGGCACATCGTCTCTGGGCTGCACCAGCACACAGAGCCACAATGCTGTGTTTACCCCGAGGTGAGGACCCTCCACCAGGCGCTTGCCCTCCCTCACCCCTCCCAGAGCCTGCCCCAGAAAGCAGACTGAGGTGGTGGCTCTAGCTAGGGCCTGAGGTCCCCCACAGGCCGAGAAACAGTCCCTGTTTGCCTCCCAGGGAGGCAGAGAAAGCTTTTTACAGAGAAAGCTTAGGACAGAATCCAGTTCACAGGACGAACATCTGTGAAGTGCCTGCTGAGAACCAGGTCCCCAGATAGAGGAACTGGCCACTTCACCCCCATGGGTGGTGGGAGTTACTATCAGAGAACAGAAAGAAAGTGTTGGGGAGGATGTGGAGAAATGGAAACTCTGTGCCCAATGGATGGGAAGGTAAAACGGTATGGCAACTCCTCAAAAAATTAAAGGTAGGACTACCGTTAAGATCCAGCAGCCCCACTTCTGGTAGGTGCCCACCGGCATGGGAAGCAGGGGCTCCAAGAGACATTCACAACACTGTGTTCACAGCAGCGTTATTCCCAGAGCCAGAAGTTGGAAGCAGTCCAAGTGTCCACCAACGGATGAATGGAGAAGCAAAACG